CATTTCACCGAGCTGACGTGTGCAATGGAATTCTCAATACCATACCTACATTTCGCCGAGCTGACGTGTGCAATGGAATTCTCAATACCATACCTACATTTCGCCGAGCTGACGTGATGAAAACAGCAAAACAAAGGAAGAAATGTGGCGTGCTTAATTATGATTATACTTAGAAGCAGTGTCTGATTGGCTGTAATATAACTGGCCTACTGAAAACAAATTGTGACTTTTAGCACGCTTCGTAAACATGTTGTCGACTTGCACACTGAATAATAGTATTTATAAACTATTTAGAATTATTAAGTTCAGACTTCTTATAAACCTCTTGTCATGGGTTGGAGTTTGAAGGTTTATAGTTTCTCTCTATCTCATCTTAACTAGGATAGACCGGGCGTGGCCTAGTGATTAAAGGATTGTGAATTTGAGGGGTTCATGGTTTGCGTTCGGTTACAAAAACATCGCTCTCCGCACTTTGGGCCGTGGATATGTTTTAAGAGTAACAATTAAATTCACTAGCCAATTAGATCAACCCAAGAGTTGGCAGTAGGTGCTTTTGACTAACTGCTTTCCCTCTAGTCTATTTAATTTGAAGTTAAGAACAGTTAACGCCGATAGTCTGTAAGAAGGTCTTAATCCAACTTACTGAAATAATTAAAAACATCCTCTCCCTAAATTCTAATTACGGAAAGTTTACGAAAATTGTCGAAATATTACAAACCTCACATCCTAACTAAAACTACTGTGATAATTAATTTCCCTTCAAAAAACTGAGATACGTGGGGGAAAGTGGAATATTTTTTGTATAAAACATTTAGTGAAAGTGTCCGAAACTTTGACCCTTATATATATCAACTGCAGACTCTGGTTTACTCGGTTAGAGGAGACCAGAATGCATACTCTGAACCACCAAAATAACAGTCAATTATGTGAATAAAAAAGCTTTCATAGTCTTACAGAAATCCATAAAAGTAATTTGAATGCTACTTAACAATATACCTTATCATTTGTAAAGATATTGCGTAACTTTACCACGTGACATGTCTCATTTTGGAAAAAATTCCTGGATTTGTAATGACAAATGATCTGATTTTTAACAAATAAGCACCATATCTTTCGCATAGGCAGAAGCAAAGAACAATACTACACTTTCTACCAGTATTTTACTCAAAATAGTTGTACGTACCAAATTAAAGACTTAAATTATATGAATTGTTGATACTCCTGATTTGCTACTGTTGCTATGATGAAGGTACCATTTTTCACGTTGACCAATCGCGTTTAAGAAAAGGCGGGTTATCGACTGTCCTCAAAAGCTAATTGACTGCTTCGATTCGTGAGTAGGCCAATATATAAGACAGAGTCATTACTTATCTGCTAGTCTTTGTTAGAATCTTATGTAACATGACATCACGTATTGCACGGTTCGTGGTATTGTTGGGCCTGTCAACCACTGGTAAGGTTTTTTTGTTTACTGTTATCCTGACCAAAAATAGGTTGTTCCTTTCGCAGTTAGATTTCATTCCATCCATAAATTATGCGATTTGTTGTATATGTGAAAATCTAGGTATTTAGATGTTTCAAAAAGTTTATTAGCCTTGATGATGATGTTAGCTAAGTTTAAGAACATAATTAAATACAGCCTCCCTGTTGACACAAAGGGGTTTTATAATGCTCAAAATGTGGTTTTGATACCAGCAGTGGGAAGAGCACAGATAGCCCATTTGTAGCTTCGTGCTTCACTACAAACAAACAACGAATAATATTAGATAAAACACTTGAAAGTAAATTAGAAGAGTTAGCTAATCGTATTTTTGAAAAATAACTTTCAACCTGGTAGACAGTTGTCACAAAATGACAATATTATGGAAATTGTATATAGTTAAAGTTATTGTTAGCCACTTCTAGATCTGGATTTTTTTATATATTTGCTGAGTTACTCCCAAAAGGTTTCTAGAGACTAAAATTTATATTCTACTTGTTATGAACTTGAAACTGGAAAAAAGGTCTTTACCTTAAAATTATATTTTAAAAATTGATATCCTTTTTACCTAGGCTTCGCTTTATGATTCCAATATTTTTTTTTCTCCTGACTGTCATATTAAGACATTTGTTGTGTCGATACTATCTCCTGACTGTCACATTTGTTGTGTCGATACTATCTCCTGACTGTCACATTTGTTGTGTCGATACTATCTCCTGACTGTCACATTTGTTGTGTCGATACTAGTAAGGTTCTCTTAAATGGAATTATGTATTACCCTAAGTATTTGTGACTTACTAAACTCTAGAAGTGAACGAAACGTGTTACTAGAGTTTTCCAGGAAGAAAGAAAAAAATAAATTTACTTAATCAATTCACTGGTAAATCTTTTTATTCCTAAATAGTGTAACACGAAGCCCAGGATTCAAGTTTGGAATTTAAACCATCGAATTGGTGTTAATTCGTCATTTGATAAAACGTCCAACAACATTCACTTTTAGAAGAAATACGCTCGCTTCGTTTGTATTCATGATTGTTTTGCACGATACTTAAAGTGTGATTGTACTAATGGCTGTATTCTATAGTACTTAAAATATGTTTACATCCATACATGTACTCTATGGTATTTAAAATACATCTGTATCCATACATGTATTCTATAGTACTTAAAATATGTTTACATCCATACGTGTATTCTATAGTACTTAAAATACATCTGTATCCATACATGTATTCTATAGTACTTAAAATATGTTTACATCCATACATGTATTCTATAGTACTTAAAATATGTTTACATCCATACATGTATTCTACAGTACTTAAAATATGTTTACATCCATACATGTATTCTATAGTACTTAAAATATGTTTACATCCATACATGTATTCTATAGTACTTAAAATATGTTTACATCCATACATGTATTGTATGGTATTTAAAATACATTTGTATCCATACATGTATTGTATGGTATTTAAAATACATTTATATCCATACGTGTATTATATGGTATTTAAAATATAAATTTCTTAGGTTTATTTGCTGCTAATGTTGCATTATTAACCAGAATATTTAGTCGTTAATTGTTTCACATTACTTGCCCCCCCCCCCAGTGGCACAGCGGTATGTCTGCGGAATTACAACGCTAGAAACAGGGTTTCAATACCCGTGGTGGGCAGAGCACAGATAGCCCTTGTGTAGCTTTGTGCATAATTAAAAACAAACAAACAAACACATTCATCTTTACTACAGCTTAATGCATCCATTCTTCACTAATATTAGATAAATTCGTTATATATGTATTTTCTAACCATACACGTTTACCTAACAGATTTATTAAGATGTTATTTCACACTGAATAAGGGCATTTTGTTCAAAACCAGTGTTACTATAACTACAAAAGCCTTCAAGTCATAGTCCAGTTCTTTAAGTCAGTAAAACTACCATGAAGGGGGGGTGAGGCATTTTCCGGAAACCCCCAACTAGAGCAACTAACTAGTTGTTTTATAGACATGAATTGTCTTGTCGTTATCTGGAGTGCACGTGCAGGACCAGTTTTTTTCTAATTTTTCAGTGTAATGTCCTATATCCAGATCAGGGTTACTTTCTGTCCTTTTCTGGTTTGTCTCGTGATTGCCCAAGACACCTAACAAGACTCGAATATTTTTGGGGAGAGCCGGAAAAGCAGGTTTCAGGACTCTTTGTGGACTCGTGTCAAGGTGGACCTGGTTGGAGTTATGTACAGATACGGTCACTCCCTTGTATTATACTTGCTAATATTATAGCACCGTCCAAGACTAGGAAAAGGGAAAAGAAATATTTCACGTTATAGTTTATAAAGAACTAAATTTTTTGGATTAAAAACAAAAGCAATTAAGAAAAATGGGGTCAATTGAAAGCATTTTGAACGTCGTAAAAGAAATAGAAATTTTACGCGTAATATTATACGATTATCACAATCACGGTAACAACGTCGTACCAGGCTCTCATTTGTTATGATGCGCGAATTTTTTTCCTTTTTTCTATCAAGCTGCGTTTTTGTTAATTTTTGTCTTCTGTTCGATTTTTATTTTTAAGCGGTAAGCTTAAAGGCTTATAACGCTATACTTTTTTGGGTTCGATCCCCATGGTAGACACTGGCAGATAGCTTACTGTACTGCTTAACCTAAAACAAAAAAATAGCATACTGAGCAGTATTTAATAAGTCTATTTCAAGCTGAGAAAAAAAAAAAAAAAACTCGCTCCGCAGTTTTCTCTTTCCTTGGTAAGTATTTGGGTTTAGATAAACAAACCAGGGATCAACCGAGTCGTATCTTTCTCTTTCCTCCGCACTTTAAGGCCTTGGATGCGTGATAAGCAAAACGGTCAAGTCCAACTATTCTATTAGAGTAGCACAAGAGTTGGCGGTGTCTTCCTTCTATCACTTCATAATAACGGACGGCTGGGGCAGGTGTTCTCGAGTAACGTTGCACAAAATTACACAAACTGTACCAATTTTTTTTTTATTAACCTGTTGAGAATATTTAAAAAAAAACTCGTTTAATAAATGTGCAATATTTACAGCTAGAAGAAAAGAAGAAGAAAAAACATAATGAAGAGCACTTAAAATATTTGATTTCCATAACTGAAGTTTCTACAACAAAACCTTTATGAATCTAAACATTGGAATTACCAAATACCGTCTTTAATCAACATTTTAATTTTATTCTGAAACCTAATAAAGAAGGAAAATAAATGTGAAACTCAAACTATCATTCGATTCGCCACTCCTCATCAGTAGGCCCGGTGGTTAGGGCGCTCGACTCGCAGTCTGAGAATCGCGAGTTCGAATCCCCGTCACTGAACATGCACGCCCTTTCACCGTGGGGGGCGTTATAATGTGACGGTCAATCCCACTATTCGTTGTTAAAAGAGTAGCCCAAGACTTGGTGATGGGTGGTGATGACTAGCTGCCCTCCCTCTAGTCTTACACTGCTAAATTAGGAACGGCTAGCGCAGATAGCCCTCGTGTAGCTTTGCGCGAAATTCAAAACAAAGGACAAAGGACAAAAAGGTCATTAGTGCTGAGAAAGGTGGTTTCACTGAAACGTTGTTTGTTTGTTTGCTTATATTTTGAATTTCGCGCAGAACTGCTCGAGAGCTATCTGGGCTGGCCGTCCCCAATTTTGAAGTGACAGACTAGAGGAAATACATCACCATTTGGGCTACTCGTTACGAAGGAATAGTTGGATTGATCGTCACATTATATCGCTCTCATACCTAGAATGTGTACGTTCAGGGATGGGATTCAAACCCACAACTTGCATGTTGTGAGTCGAGTGTCTTAACTACCAGGCTACGCCAGCCTCTAAAACGTTGACTACGTAATTCTTTTTGTTTTCTTCACATAGAGTTTAATCTTTTTTTTTCCTCCTGCTGTAGTCGTATTTGTTAGTTAGACAATATAAATATTTGCAAGCGATATCATTCAGGAAGTGCATAGCCAGACCGTTTTATAATATATCTCTATGTAAATTATTATATTTTTTGTTGATATTTCTTGTTTGAATGATATTTCAAGAACTTATAATTTCCTCCTTTTTAGTGTTCGGTGTATCCATAGTCAAAAGACAGGCAGATAAGGATAATGCTGATATCAAAAATGATGCTGACCTCTGTAAAGGTAGAACTGCCCTTGAGTACTTTCGTCTGACAGCAAGCGAGGACTGTCGAGATGTGGTTCGCTGCTCAGTGCAAGGTTTGCTTGCACTTAGGTGTTCCACTGGACTTGCATTTGACATCGAAAAACAGACTTGCCAGTGGAAGAACCAAGTAAAGAACTGTGATCAGGTGGAGAAACCTCGCCTGGCCATGCCCCTTCTATCTACAGAAGAACCCATTTGCAGTGAGAACCAGCTGGCTTGTGGAAATGGTGATTGTATTGAGCGTAAGCTCTTCTGTGATGGAGAACCTCAATGTGCTGATGGATCTGATGAAAACGTTTGCAGTAAGCCAATTTTATAAGTCTAACAAACACGCCAATATTACTCTGGTAGTTGTTACTGGCTAATGTTGTTGAAAAAAGTGAAACGTCTTTAGAGTATTTGTGAGTTATAACTGAACCTAGTTGTTCCATTATTTGAAAATTAAATCTGTATAACTCTGAATAATAACAAGTGTTTTTTTTTTATAAGAGTAAAACTACGATTTGACTTTTCACACAAAAAAGTCTAAATTTAAAATAAAACATAGATTTGAACATTGATTGATAGTGAAGAAAAACGTTTATTTATACATTTAATCATTAATTATAATTAATTAAAATAAGCTTTATACTTCTTTAGCTAAAGAAAAAGATCCTAACAGAGCGCCCCCTTGCGACCAGAAACAATGTACCTTGCCAGACTGTTTCTGTTCTCCTGACGGGACTCAGATTCCTGGAAGGAAGGATCCAAATAATATTCCTCAAATGGTCATGATTACCTTTGATGACGCAGTCAACATCAACAATATTGACATTTACAAAGAACTCTTCAGGGATGGCCGGAATAATCCTAACGGATGTTCTATAAAGGGTACCTTCTACGTATCCCACAAATACACCAACTACTCTGCGGTTCAGGATCTTCATCGGAAAGGGCACGAAATAGCATCTCATTCTATAACGTGAGTGTTTATTAATTAAATTTACTTATTATTATTATTATTCAAAAATAAAATATAAATTGATTTTCAACATTAAAGCTGTTCAGGGTATCTTCTGCACTTTTCAGTGGTAAGTGTAAAATAGTTTTTTTTTTATAATTATTTACAGGGTGGTTCGCAGTTTTTTTATAATTAATAAGCTAACTGATGAGGTTTAATTTTATCTTTGACGTCACTAAATCGAAGTTTTTCTTTTTATCTTGGAAGATCAATGGAAGCTTTTTTATTTATTTTCTTTCTTTCTTAAAGGCTAGTAAATAGGAATTTTTTATTTTGTGGAAACTTATCTGTGTTTTTTAATCCTTGAAAGTTAATGAAAGTTTTTCTTTGTGGGAATTTATGTTTCTGTTCTTGAAGGCTATCAATTAGAAGCTTTTGTGTTGAATTGTGTTTTTTGTTATTCAACGGTATTAAATAGAAGTTTGTTCTTTGTAATAATTCATTGAATCATCATCTTCAACAAATTAGGGGAGGTTTAATAGGAAGCGTAGTGATATTTTATAAAGAAACTTATATGTATGCTATATGAGATAAAAACTATTATTACAATTTTTTTAATATCAACTTCTTTATTTTTGATATCTAGTCATCGTAATGACGAATCATATTGGAGTGGCGCTAGTCTTGAAACGTGGGCTAAGGAAATGGCAGGAATGAGATTAATCCTTGAAAAGTTTGCAAACATCACAGACAATTCTATTGTTGGTGTCCGTACTCCGTACTTACGTTTGGGTGGTAACAGCCAGTTTCGTATGATGGAGGAACAAGCTTTTTTGTATGACTCATCGGTCACTGTTCCTCTGTCCAATCCTCCTCTTTGGCCATACACCCTTTATTTCAGCATGCCACACAAGTGCCACGGTAATGGACAAAACTGCCCCACACGATCTCATGCTGTATGGGAGATTCCCATGAACGAACTAGACCGTCGCGAGGATCCAAGATTCGACGAGAACCTGGCTGGCTGTGCCATGGTGGACAGTTGTAGCAACCTGATCACTGGAGACCAATTCTATAATTTTCTCAATCACAACCTGAAGAGACATTACACCACCAATCGTGCTCCCCTCGGGCTGTTCTTCCACGCCGGCTTTCTTAAGTTGAATCCCGAATTTATGGATGCCTTTATTAGCTGGATTGACGAGATGTTGGACAGAAAGGACATTTATTTCTTGACTGTGACTCAGGTTCTCCAATGGATGCAAAATCCAACAGAGCTCAGTAGTATACAGAACTTTTCCCCATGGAAAGAAAAGTGTGATGTCAAAGGTCAGCCTATTTGCAGTCTTCCCAATGCTTGCCCATTGACCACTCGTGAGCTTCCGGGAGAAACTGTCCGTTTACATACCTGTATGGAATGCCCTCAGAACTATCCCTGGATTGAAGATCCAACTGGAGATTACTTCTCATTCAAGAAATAGACATTGTCATAAAACTTAGTTAAATTAATTTAGTTACATTTAAAACTTAAGTACCATGTCTCACACTTCTCTTGTAACTCCCTGCAGCGCATTTGTAATATCCATTTTTTTTTTAATCTTGTTTTCTGGACCATTGTCTTGGTTTCTCCAGATATGGTAAAGCATGAATATACGAAAGCACTTCTTCTGAATGCTTTCAGCCCCGTTATTCTAATCTGAACGAGGGATAAGAGTTTTTGACCCAGTTGTGGACAGTTTTAGAGTAGATCCAGGATCTACTTTAGGGTATGTAGTTAATTAAAAAAAAACAGAGTTATCAAGAGTAAACCGCTGATTTCAACAAAATAGGTGGTTAAGCGTTAGAAAAAACAACAACATTTGTTTTGTTTTGTAACTTTAATTTTGAATTTCTTTTTCTCGCGATCTCGAGTTTTACTTTGTAGTCAAAGCAGGCGTTGAGATGTTAAATCGTTTTAATGTACAGAGATTTTGAAATAAATAAATAAATATATATATATATACATATATATGTGTGTGAAACGTTTTGAGATAATAACAGTTGTTTCAAGATTAGATTGATTCAATCTACTGGTAAAACAACTAACAAGAAAATATATAAAAGAGTACGTTGGAAAATCAAACAAAACTGTGTCAGATTTCAAATAGTATATTTAAAACACAGCAACAGGGTTGTAATGTTAAAGAGATATCGCTTTCTCCAAATTTATGTCTTTTGTTATTAAAAACTGCTTAAAATGTTAACAAAAACTCCTCAGTATAGATAGTTGTTTTACATTTCTCCCTTTATATTGCGATCTCTAAGACTATTCAAACATTTTACTATGGTCAAATAAAGACGTGGGGGTCAATCAATGAATTGGGATTATTTAGTTTTGTGATTATATAATGTAACTGTGATTGAACGTTTTTAATATCCTTAGAAGTAAATATGTTGTTCATATAAATAATGTTAAAAATAAAAACTGATACAACTTTATTTAGTTACAATAAATAAGATTTATTAAAAACAGGAATCAGTTCTAAACAAAGAATCTCTACACGTTTCGGTGGCGTTACACACCACCATAATCATCATAGCGTGTAGAGTGTTTCCTTTTTAGGGCTGTTTCCTGTTTTTAATAAATCATATTTATTGTAACTAGTTAACGTTGTATCATTTTCAAATTTTAATATATTCTTAGAAGTATTTACTCTTGAACAGTCAGAGATTAATCACCACGTGTGAATTATCAAAATATCTTCAGAAAAATTATCAAATATTGATAAATATCTACTATAAGATCAATAACCACATATTATACAATTTAGTTCAATATTTTAAAGGTTAACAAGTAAACGATAATATTTTAACCAAAATTTTCTCTACATAGCATTTACAAGTATTCATATACTGTATAGTGTAGAAATATGTAATTGGCTTTATGGACTGTAATAAAAAATATTTCTTTTTTTTTTAGTGAGTTTGTTTATTTATGTATTGGTCATTTAAAGTTCAATAATACTTGTTTGTTAGCAGTTCAACATTTCTTACACCAAATTTTCAATAAGAAAGATTATATACAATCACATATTTATTGATCTCTGTTGTGCTTTGATCTTTTAACCTGAGGTCTAAACCCCAAATGTCATTAAAACTGTCCAGCTTTAAAGTTAACTCTTCATGCTAAATATGTGGTTGGCCACTACTTTATGGAAATGTCTTTAGCCTTGAACTAAGTTTAACACTGTCTTAGATCATTTTATCTCTCTATTTCTGGCCAGTGGTGGGATCCATTATTTAACCACGGAGCCAAATTTAACACCAGGTGACACTACCAGAGGTTGCGCCAACAGACACTAACCTTTCATGTGAAAGTTGAGTGCCTCACAATTGGTAGAAGAGAGTTTCATTACCAATGGTCTTCGGACTATATATCTTCCTGTTTAATCCCATCTTTTGCTTTTCCTAGCTAAACCATATCATATTTTGTTTTCCAGCAATCTCACTCCCTCTCAATATTGTTGAATACTTTCATGGCTGCTGGTTTGGCCTAGATGGTGTAGAGAGGACCATATCCTACCAGTAGAACTGTGCCAGATTTTATATAGGGGTTTCTCTTCGCGAGCATGTCAGCTTTTTCATTTATTTAAAACCATTCATGGCGTGATAAATACATCCAAATCACGGTTTTTATCATGTAGTTGTTTTGCTTTCTACCCTCCACCTGGGGAACAGCCCCTAGGAATTTTACACAGTGCAACCCATTTGTCAGCTGCGAATATTATTTTAGTGTCACTATCTATTTGCGGTTCATTGTTTTCACCAATCCAGTGGAAAGCTTGCTTTATGGCTGTTAGCTCTATCATTGTGCTGCTTGTAGGAACTTTGAATGATCCATCCTCTTTATGGGGAATTTTGTTTCTCCAAGAGATGGTGAATTCCTAATGAACTCTCTCGCTATCTGTAGTGTAGCAACTATCTATCCTCTATAATGACAGTGATTTTCCTGCTTCACCTTCTGTCCAGTCTCTAGATTTATTTCAATAAATCCGAGCGGTACCAAGTATTTATTCCAGAGAGGGGAGCTTGAAATCTGGTCAACTCTGTTCAACTCTGATTGTATTCTGAGATGCCTTGTTCGAAGTCCCCTGCTTATTTGGTGTCTGTGGGGCCATTTTGGAGCTAGAATATCCCATTTAAAAGGGGCAGAAGCACGATGTTGGAATGCATAGTCTCTACATTGCAAGACCTTAGTGAATAAGTTTCCTTGTAAGTGTTATTGGTGATCTGTGATGCTCTGAGACTTCTAATGGGGGTGCCTGAAATACATCCTGCAACCAGTTTTAAAGAGGTATTTTGTATATTTTCAATCTTATCAAGGTACATAGCACTCATATGGATCACTGTTATTGTATATCCTATATAAATTTGACATGACTTTGGAAAAGCATAAGAAGGTTATGTTGAGTTGTCTGTTAAAGACTACCACATAACTTCACTGTTTCATCCAGAGTAATGGCAATGCCCACAAAAGATGGTGATGTGATGGTTTGTCTTAATCATCATGTTTGTTGATGAGTGTGCAGAACATTTGTATGGTTTCAACATGAGTTATTATCATTCTCTTGTCATTGCACCATTTCTCATCCTGCTAATTCAAGGTTGCACAATATTTTCGATTTTATCTTTGCTAGTGACTTTACCATACACCAGAATGTCATAAACGTGAGTTAGCACAAGGCATATGGTTGGTTGTCTATATGGGACAACTCTTGGTGGAGATGTTGAAGAGGACTGGCGAAAGTGTTGATAATTAAGGCAGAGCAGTACTGGTGTTGATCTATTCTGATTGCCAGCTTCCGTCCTTGATGATGTACCATCTAGTAGTTAGTGCAGCTAAAACCCGTATTACGCATATTACATTGATGACTATTCTGAATACTTTGTCGGCAAGAATGGGCAGCTGGACTACTTTAGGCTATTTTCAGGTCTAAAGCTACTAATAGGTGCCTTACCAGCTTTATAGCCTTTTCATGTATCACCTACAAATTCAGCAGATTTCTCTTCCACCAGTATAACTATCTAATGATTAGAGTAGAATTGGTTCATTCTGATAGGCAAGCTTTCTAACTACAGCCTTTTTTTTGGTATCTTTCAAATGCTGCTTTGTAGGATGAAGATTTGATATCTTTTAAGATGAGAGTGGTCTTTCAATGATTTGGGTAAGAATATTGATAAAGACATCATTCGATATATCAAGAATGTTACCTACTGCCCAGCTATATTTATACTCTGACTTAAATTTCAACAGCTTCTAGCAGATACAGTTCTTTCAGCATAAAGATCTAGATCTCCATCTTTAGATATATTTATGGCTCTATATATCTCATACAAGCTAAAGACGGTTTCCATACGTGCATTCCATTGTAACTTAGATAGGAACTGCTATTGTTGGAGTCTCTCATGCATTTCATCCTCATGACATTGATTTAAGTAATTGTGCGTGTAGCCTTTGACACTTGTGCAAGCAGTTACGGGTGTACAGTGATATGCTGTACCACTTCTATCAGTCACCTAGATGCAGTTCTCAGCCAGTGTTGCAGCTAGTGGCAAACAGGGCTATGAGATAGAATTATCTAGACTATGCTTAACACAAGGATGGATTGGTGGCCATCAAGGTATCACATGTGCTAATATTAATAGATGATGGCAGTTCTACTGGTCATGTTTGAGCCATGACGTTCAGTGTTGATGTCGACACTACAAAGTGTGCACTGCACAAAGGAAAAACTGACCTAGACAGGATAAACTCCAGCAACAATTTGTTGGTCCTCTTGTACAAAGAATAACTCTAGATTTCACTGGTTCTCTCCTTGAGACAAAGCAAGGTAGTTGGTACATGCTGGTCATTATCAATTACTTCTCTAAGTGGGCCAAAGCTTATCCATCATTCGATACTTTAGCATATTCATTTGCTGATGTATTGGCAAAACAATAGATGGCCTGATTCAGTACCCCTCAAGGAATTCACACAAATCAGGGAATTAATTTCAATAGCCAGCTATTCTCTGAGCTGTTAAAAGTGTTTAATGCAATAAAGATGGTCACTTCACCTTATCAAACCCAAGTCTGATGGTTTGACAGAGTGGATGATACAGACTGTAAAGTTTATGCTTGCAAAGTTTTTTAATTTTGGTGGAACTAAGTGCGATGAGCATTTGATGATGTATCGTGCAATGTAACAGAGATCAACTGAGTGACCACCAAAGATACTCGTGTTTGTTGAGAAATGATGCTCCCTGAGGATGATTTACAGCCTACCAACTAGAGCAGATATGCTGCAGTGTCTGCAAGAATATGTGGTGTGGCTGAGGTCTATGCTGACCAATGCACAGGAGTTTGTACAACAGCAACTAGGAAAGGCCATAATATGGCAGTAGATAAAATACAACAAAACAGTCAAGGAACACACATTCCTGCATGGAGATTATTTTTGGCTTTGGTACACGCCAGTGGCATGGAAGCAGCTCAGTTCCGGTTGGACAGGTCCACACCTAGTACTTTGATAAGTTGGTCTGTGGAAATAGAAAATTCAGTACTTTCATGGTGTACAAACATGTACCACTGTGATAATCTGCAACCTTATGTAATAGCTTAACCTCTAGTGCCCTGCTTTGGCTAGTGATGAGAGTTCGGGACCAACAAGTCAGAGAAAGATGAGGATATTGTTTAGAGCATATCAATTTAGTTGATGAGAAAAAATATTCTGACAGTGTAATATGAGTCCGGTGAAGAAGCACCTGAAGAAGTACCAGTAAGGCATAGTGGTCAACCAAGACACGTACAATGATCTCATCAATATGGCTGGGATTAGTTGCCTAATCAACAGCTAAGGCAGTAATGTGATCAAGAAACCAATGACTGAAAGGGTTTTTGTGACCCTTGCTCTCCGAACTTTCGGATCATATT